ATATGTCTCTAATGTCAAAGTAATAACGTACGATGAGTAGGAATTGTATCTGTTGTTATGTTAAAATATGTATGAAAATGACAAAGCCAGGATGATCGCACTGTGTCCAATGTTTTAATGTTTATTTAATAAAAAAATTAAATAATAAAAAAAGATGAATGGACTTCAACTCCCAGAATCCTTGCTGAGAATTTCTGGGAGTTGAAGTCCATAAAAGTGGCTGATGTGGAGAAAACTTCTCCCCAAGATGCTGCGTCCGATCACCTGGCGACCAAGATCGCATTCTTACCGCTTTTTGCCGGGATCTTTCCATACCCGGCCAGATTTAGGCTTTCCTTTGGGGATAGATGGTGCCTCCTTCCGCTTCTTACCCAAAGCAGTTACTTGCAGCTTCCCAGATCCAGTTTCCACTAAGGCGACAGCCCCTTTCTCGTTCCCCAGCTGCTGAAGTTGCTCACCCCGTTCCGGCTCTGGAGACAGTCGGTCGGCTTGCAGCTGCTCCTCCGGGATAAGCGCTGCCATTTCCTTCCTTTTTATCTCTTCGCTACACTCTCCCAGCGAAAAAAACACGCTCTCTCTCTCTCTCCCCCCCTTTCCCACCCCACGAGGAAGACTCCAGTAGGGCCCTTTCGGATGACGTCCCATATGCGACGGACGCGGATGCGCAGAACTACGAGCGAGATAACGTTCTTTGTGGCGAATGCAGTATTCATTGGAGCTAGAGCGGTTCCTTGGCTAGAAAGAGGATAAGTTTCACTTATTCTTGAATATAACTTCCGGTCTCCTCTGCTTTTAGTGGAATTCATATGCGGGGCAAGAGTGGTAAAAATTCAGTACAATTGTCTTCACTATGTAATATCCTGTAAATATTTTGGGAACAGTATGGCTAGAATTCCGAAATGCATGGTGGCTGGGCATTCTGGGCTTTGCAGTATAGATACAGCGTTTAGTTGGGGAAGATCCATTAAAAATACCATTAGATATTCAATTAAAGCTGATAGTTGAAAGTTTTCGGTTCTCCAGGGCTTTTAAACAATTGTCTAGAATTAGTATAAGGGGCTTTTGATAAGGGTATTTCGCTGTGCCCTCAAAACCATGTTGTTCCGCCAGGCTGGGCTATCAATATAAAGATTTTAATTGGTTTTAAAGGGGATTTTAAATTCGGGGTTTTATAAATTGGGCTTATTATTTAATAATTTTAATTATTTTTAAATTTTGTCTGTCTTCGTGTTTTTAATTAGGCTGTACACCGCCCTGAGTCCTTCGGGAGAAGGGCGGTATAGAAATAAAATTAATAAATAAAAATAATAAATAATTTTTCTCCCTTTTAAAAAAAATATGGTGAAATATTTTTGGTGAATAGCTAATAATTGAACAGTGACAGTACTATCAAAGTTAATACACAACAGTGATTAAAATACATTAAAAGCAGATATAGAGCCATATAGTAGAACATAATATTAATGTTCTAGGTAGTATTAATATAATGTTCTACATAGTATTAATATAAGATTAAGTCAATCCTCCTTTATTTTCTTCCTTGTGTTTATGATTTGGGCTAATCTCTCTTGAGACTTTTAATCTTTCACACTGTCAATCATTAAATTTTGATAAGAGTTAAAGCAGAATAGAAATTAAATCCATTTTTGCCATGAAAGAATTGCATTCATCACCAGCCTGCCCAAAATTTAAACACAGAATAAGAGATGTTTCAGGCATTTTTTTGGCTGCTTAGAAGAATACATATTTAAATGGGCATTAATATAACCTTTTGTTATTTTATAGTATATTTAGTATATTTTATTTATTTTCATTTGACTGAAGTCTAAACTTAAAGGTCTGCTTTTAGCAGTTACATTTTCCTTACTCCATTCCTAATTACTAACTGAATTAGGAAAGTACAGTTAGAAAAAAAATATTTCTGTTTGTTTGATCAACTCTTAAACCAGTAACACCTAATCATCCCTGAGCCTCCTACTTCTGCTTCTTGGCTGTGGAAAACAGTTATGGAGAAACATTACAAGCATATTAAAGACTTTAAGCAATGATTGATGGCCTCAGCCATAGTTATTTTTGCATTTATATATATTTATATAATATATGCAAAACACTATTTTGAATAAAATAGTCTAAGACAGTGGTCACCAACTGACCACTGTCCGTGAGAAAATGTTGATGGTCCGCAGAAAAATTATTTGCATTTTTTATATTGCACTAAATCAGGGGTCCTCAAACTACAATCCCTGGGACAGATACATGCAATGAACATTTGTGTTGTTGCAGAGAGTCTCCCCCTTTGGTTTTTTTTGTGTGGGTCGGAGGGGGGGGGGGAGAAATTCTAACTTGGGGTCTGCTTCGGGCTCCTGGTGCAGGGCTTTGGGCAATGGCCCGAGGGAAGTGCCGCTGGTGGTGAAGAGCCAGAGGGCCTTGTTCCAGTGGGACTGCATCATGGCCTGGAACTGGCTGACCATCTCAGCCCACTGAGCCTCCAGGTGCCAGTACCTGGCCTTGCACTCCCACAGGTCTTCCCTCTGCTTGGAAAGCCTATGTTCGTAGTCCTCAAGTGAGGTGCTTCTACTGAGCCTCCTTCTCGGTCAGATCCAATTTGAACTGAGCCAGCTATTTTGCCAACTTTTTCTCATGGTGGCTGCTTAGCTCCAACAACTGCTTCCTGTAGGGGCCCTAAGGAGCTCGGATTGGCAGGCGAGGAGTGGCTGGGAGGAGAGGGGCGAGTAGAGGCTGGTGAGGCGCCCCTCGATGTGAGTGACATTGAGTTGGCCACGCCCACCCAGTCACATGACCACCTAGCCACGCCCAGCCAGCCAGTCATTAGGCAGATCATATTAGTGGTCTGCGGGGTTTAAAATTATGAATTTAGTGGTCCCTGAGATCCGAAAGGTTGGTGACCCCTGGACTAAGAAATGTTTTAAGAAAAGACAGTTCCTGTAGCTTTGGTAAGCTAGTTCAAACTTAAAAGTTAAAATCTGAGTGCACCTGGGTATGCAATTCCTTATCTGTTTTTAATATGAAACTTGCCTTTGAACTCATTGGACTTTGCTACCTGTTTGAAAAAGCAAAGAATGTAAATTTATTTTGAAAATTTGCCAAATCTGATCAAGTACCATATGATGAGGCAGATCCTGTTTTCTGTATCAAATATAAGAAATGTATATGTGAACTTGTGAAAAGAAAATGAATTTAACATCATTTTGATACTCTAATATTTCAAATGCTCAGTGCTTAAAAATGGCAGAGACTAATGTGTCACAAAGAATAATAAACTGATAATTGTATACATTTCTATGCATTATGAGATGCATGCATTTGTTGTGTTGTTACATATTATGTCTAATTCCCTGGAATAAAGTTATTAAGATAACTAGAAGTATCTTTGAATTTATTTTTGATTTTTAACCTATCTTTCTGTTTATATCAATCTAAAGTTGTCTTACATATTAAAAATAGAATATAAAACAATGCAATCAAAATAAAAACTAAAACTAAATTCTGTATCATTACCATTTCCTTACTATTTCCTTGAGAATCTTTAATCATGCTTCTGATGAAGAGAATCTTCAGAAACTTTTTGTGTGAAGATTAATGCAAAGAATGAGTTAAACCACTCTGCTTTCTCTCTACTATCTGTTACGTCCTTGCAATCTTCTCTTTAGTCGACCGACTGTTTCCTTGACTTTTTTCTTGTTATTTATATATAACTTTTATAAACTTTTTTTAATTATCTTTGATTTTTGTTACAAGTCTTTATTCATTCTGAGCCTTTGCTTTCCTGACTTCATCTTTGCAGATTCAAGCTATCTGCTGTTATTCTGCCTTAGTTATGTGTCCCTCTTTCCATTAATATAAGTTAATGATTGAGTTAACACAAGGTGTCAGTCTCAGCCCATTAAAGCTAATTTGAGTACAGACTGCACTCTTGGGGCAGGGAAGCAGAAAATTTCTCCAACTTGCTGAATGCTTTCATAAGGCGTTAAAACAGTATAGTGGACAAGACAGAACTCTGAAGCACCATGGATCAATCATCTAGGTCAGCGATCCCCAACCTTTGCAGCTTGGCGGCCTGGCTGGGTGGGAATCAGTTTCAGGAACATACTATAAATACATCTCTTACTGAATTTGCTCTGAAAATGAGTTTCATTCAAATGTACTGTATCTGGAACTTCGGGGCTCCCACAGTCTCAATTATCATACCCATGAATAAAATATTTAAAATTGGCCTATGATTATTATAAGAAAATCTTCTCTTTCGTATTCTTATAGCTATCTCTTTTGAGCAGCTAGAAACACATTCCACATTCTAAGACATTGGTTGCCTGTCTTAATCATGGTGCCTGAACTAACGTGGCCAATTAGGAAGGAAAAGGATTAAACAAATTGATGAGCGCCTCATCTATCTATCTATCTATACCCTCTCAATGTCTTCAAAAGCTGCAAGCTATATGAACCGGGCAAGCAGCTGTCAAACTTACTGTGATCTGGAATGCAAACTGAGGTAAATCCAGTTGATTTAGCTTGCAAATACAGATGAAAATTGCTTACAATTAGTCTCTGAAAGTTCTAGTTCTTTTTCTCTTATTTCTTGCTGGAGATGCTGTGCAGTGTGAAAAAACACCAGCAGCCTGTTCATCTATATATTATGGAGGCAAGTAAGCTGTGCATCCACTATTCTGGGTTGGGGTTTCAAATGGTTTTAAAATAGGCTCCATTTTTGATTGAATTTGATTCATTACAAGAATCCCTCATGCAGTTACAATCTACATTACAAATGCTCTTTTATATTTGAGCTATTGTGATTAATATGATTGAGATATTATTTTACTTAAAGCTGTCTCTATGAAGAAACAAGAAGATATAAATTGCATTTCAAGATTTATAACATGGTTTGAATTTTGTAGCACTAGATTTCATCATATTGTGGATCTGCTGGCTATAACAGGAATTATTGGAACATGAGCTTGCATAGAGAGGGAAAAAATCCTTGGGAAGTTTCTACCTTACATTTATTAGCATACTTACTCACATCAAGAAATTTGGCTTTGTAATCTGAATACAAAAAAATCAAATGAACACTTAATGTAATACAATTATTCAGAAATAATATATAGAAACATAGGGCTCTACAGTACAGAGATCCTGATTCAAAAATGCCTGGGAGATTACTGTATGTAGCACCTGCTAGGAATATCTTAAAGCAACTGTATCTTTTGTTGGGTTCTGGTCCATAACTGATACACAAACCTGGGAAAAGATTATTTAATTTACAGTATTCCCAGCAAATGCTACCAAAAGCAGGCACACATTCTATAAACCATGTTTTCCTTTCAGAGCTGGATTTTTACATAATCCTAATAAAAGACTAGAAAACTGATTTACATTAAGTACAATTTCTGATAATTGTTATCAGATGTTAACAGACATTCTCCAAAGTAGTATTAATGCAACTGTTAAGAATAGTTACTTCAATGCAAATATCAATGTGAACATGACAAGTCATATTTACATAGTTTAGAAATCTAAAGGCACTTGTTTCACTTTTTCCCGTTACAATAAGCACCCATTACTATATTAAACAAACAAACAAACAAACAAACATTAGAAATGGAAGTACTCATAATGTTTGCACAAGCACTACATGCAGCTATGCAGCCACTCGGGGATCTGTCTTATTACAAAAGAGATCTACAAAAACGCCCTAAAATTCATGATGATTTTGAGTTGAAGCACAGATTACTTGGTGAAATGGCTCTTTGTTTCACAGCTTTACAAGTAAAGCTGTAAACATAATAAGGTCATTTTATTTGCATCAAAGTGCTTGTAATAGATGTCATGAAATCTAGGAGGGAAAGGATGCAGTCCAGAGGTGTTAAGAGGCAAACTTGGTCCAAATGTTACGTGTGAGAGAAAGAGGGTGAAAACAGCACTTCCCTAAAATTGTTCACAGAGTATATGGTAGATGCAGATAGTACTGTCCTCAATCTGGCAAGATTCTGTCTATAAGTATGAAATAATAACAAATTCAATTTGCAAGGTTCACCATGTGTCATTCTTAGTTTTGGGCCTGATATCACCTCTGTATTTATGAAATTTAATCATGGGCGGGCACTTCTAAGAAGCAGAGTGGGCACAAAAGTTTCTCTAGAACAGATAAATTAAAAAGTAAGCATTTCATGTGGAAATAGTTTATGAAGGCAAAACGAACAAGACCTCACAAAACATCAGAAAAATTGATCTGATAAAAATAGACATTATCAATCTGAGTGGATAAATTGGATCTATGAAGCTGTGGAACACATTTAATTCTAATGTGTTCATTAGAATTAAATGCTAAGCCTTTGCTACAAGTGGAGATACTAAGGTAAATGGCATATGCTGGACCAAGATAAGTATTTAGGCTGTTATTTATTTGCTGAATGCACAAGCTGGCCAATAACCATTTGTTTCTTTTGCGTTCAGAAATAATTCTGTATCATATCAGTGTGATCAAGGCTTAAGAAATTTGGTTCAAGTTCCTGATAGGTTGCTTCTCAGCCATGAATTGAACGATTCCTCCTTTGGCAGGGGTAGTTTCCTTTTTTCCTAAAGGCAGCACATCCCTGGTAATTAGTTGGTAACGTATCTCCCATTCTCTTTTACTACGGTATTTTTAATAAAATAAAGTAAAACTCAACTCCAGGGCAACAAAAATAAACTAATTTTAGCAGAACAACTTTCTCTGCTTTCAGTACAAACCACCTTTCTGATTTCTAATCAATGCATTTCTTATAATACAGCCCAGTGCTGATTGGAAACCTTTATGGACTTTTTATGTGAAACTAAAAAAAATGAAATTACCGTACATGGTTTGGATCATTAGAAGATAAAATAATTATTTAAAAAATGTAAAAAGTGTTGTAACTATAGGGTAAAAGCTTAATGTACATTTATGCTTATAACTGCTATAAAAATAGCAGTAGCACTTAGATTTATATACCATTTTATAGTGCTTTTCTAACAAAAATGAGGACCCAACAATCTGGGTCCTCATTTTACCGACCCTTGAAGGATGGAAAGCTTGAGTCAACTTTGAGCTGCTCAGAATCTAACTCCTGGAGTGGGCAGTGAGTTATACCTGGAATACTGCATTCTAACCACTGTGCCACCACGACTCTATAAAATCAGAAATCATTTCTTTATATTTCTTTTCTGCACTTGTTCTGTGCTTTTCCTATTTCTTTTCTTTCTTCCTTTTTATTCTAAACATTAGTTCTTGATAGTTTCTGTCATCTTTTAATTGTAATACTACTTATATATAAAAAAAGTAAAGTTGAAAAAACTCAGAAGCCTACTTAGGAAAAGCTCTCCCTAGTACAAACACACAGAGGAAAATATGCAAATTTAAGGCACTTCCAAACAGATGGCCTCTTGGGGGGGGAGGGGGAAACCACTTGCAGATAATCTATCTCTTCTTCATGAAGACCCCAAAGAGTTACAAATGGGAGTGATGGTAAAGCCCTTGTATTATAAAATTTAGAACCGCCAGCACACATCATGATTGGTGCTTTTCAGGATATGAACATGGATGAAACTACAGAGGATGCTTCATAATGCAGGAAATGTGACAGGCCTTCCATTTAGGATAAACTCGTGGCTGTCCTATATAGAAGAAGCTCATAATAAACAAATACAAAACTTGTTCTCCATTTCTGCGTTGAGGCAGATTTTGGGGATTTAGCAAGAGAAGGGAAGATAAAGATAGGAAGCTCACACTCATATACAGTAGCTTCAAGCCAGGGAAGCATCTAGAGTAAATATTCAGCATTGTGTGACAGAAGAAGAGAAACCACTTGTCTTCATGATGCCTGGAAAACACACACAATAAAGATTAATCTAACATCTGTAAACGTTTTTAACTATTTAATTGCTCAGGAATAAGAAGTTCATTTTTCTGCATAATTCCCGAAATAGTAGAATCAAAATGCCTGGAGAACATTTGGGAATCTCTAAACTGGGGGATTCTGGGAGTTGAAGTCCACCCATCTTCAAGCTTCCAAGGTTGAGAAACACTGCTCTAAACGGTAACAGAAAGATGTTTAGGATTTGAGAGTCCCCAGAGCCTGAAAATCAGAAGGAAGTCCTGGTGCATCTTTTCCAACTAAAGTATTTTATCAAAAGGCATAAGCTTTCATGAGCTGTGCTTACTTCAAGATGCGTATAGAGTGATGTGGATTTAATAATATTTATTAGATGGGAAAATTACTATCGGACTTTTCTGATTTTTTTTACTATTATGGATTATAAAGAATTCCAACAGAGTTAGAAGGGACCTTGGAGGTCTTCTAACTCTACTCAACCCCCTGCTCAAGCAGAAAACCCTGTACCATTTCAAACAAATGGCTGTCCAACCTCTTCTTAATAACCTCCAATGTTGGAATATCCATAACTTCTGGAGGCAGGGTGTTCCACTGATTAATTATTCTCACTGTCAGGAAATTTCTCTTTAGTTTCAGGTTGGCTCTCTCCTTGATAACACAGTTTATCTAGCTCATTGATTAACGGCTCTCCTCCTTTACAGCCCTCAAAAATCCTGGTTTAAGACTACATTTCAGGGGTGAAATGCTCCCAGTTTGGACCAGATCGCCCAATCTGGTAGCGATGGAGGCGGCTGGTTCGGAGAACCGGTAGCAAAAATCCCTGCCCCCCCCCCATGCCCAGCTGAGCCGCACAATCATCAGAGGCTTTTTTTTTTACTTTTAAAAGCATTTTTTCTACAACCTCTTCGGCCGAAAAAATGCTTTTAAAAGTAAAAAAAAAAAAAAGCCTCTGCTGATCAGGCAACTCAGCTGGGATCGTCAGAGGCATTTAAAAGAAAAAAAAACCCTTTTTTTAAAGCATTTTTTTACAACCTCTTCCCTGAAGAGGTTGTAGAAAAAATGGTTTTAAAAGTAAAAAAAAAAAAATGGCCATGCCCACCTAGTCACATTACCCCCCACCAAGCCACGCCCACAGAAGCGGTAGTAACAAATTTTAGATTTCACCACTGCTACATTTGCTACATTAGTAACCCAGACAAAAGTTTTTATTCTCACCATTCGTTGATAGATCTGTTGCTTTTGAATCTTGAGCCTAATGATGGCCGTGATAGCTAAGGATACTTCAAGAAACACAAAGATGAGGAACACAGAGTTCAGGCCAAATGACAGCGTCTGTGGGCAAAATCACATGCAATTCTGCTGATTACCATTACTCCACCTGACTGTAAATTCCTCTGTTATATAAACCATAAAATTGAAAACATTATCATTATAGTTGTTTGGGAACTACAGGAATTTATATTTTAGTGAAGTGAAGAGCCATTAATTAACTTAAAACCCAAATATTACTCAATTATTTAATTTAGTTACACTTGATATAAACTTAGCTTATATGTTGATAGCTTGGAGGTTATTTGCTCTTTTTGCTCAGGAGTATTGCCTGAGCCCCTCTGAAATTAAAAGGGGGGTACAGGTGAAGACTACAGGAGTTACCTACTGTGATCACCTCAGTCAGGAAGTCGGAGGGGATGGGCTTCTGCTTGCCTCAGCTTCATCCTTCCCATTCGAGACAAGTGCTTTTCCAGACTTTTGCCTAGGGTACCACCTTGCTTGAATAGGCAGGTGGTGACCACATTAGGCTTCTTTGCTTCTTCAGGTTTTTAGTTTCTTTTTATACCCTGTTTCCCCCAAAATAAGACTTCTCCTGATAATAAGCCCAATCAGGCTTTTGAGTGCGTGGCAATAAGGCCAAGTGCTTATTTCAGGGATCAAAAAAATATAAAACAGGGTCTTATTTTTGGGGAAACATGGTAGCAACAGCACTTAGACTTGTATACTGCTTCACAGTCCTTTCCAGTCCTCTCTAATTGGTTTACAGAGTCAGCATATCTGACTCTGTATAGACCCAACAATCTGGGTCCTCATTTTACCGACTTTAGAAGGATGGAAGGCTGAGTCAACCTTGAGCCTGGTGAGATTCAAACTGCCAAATTGCAGGCAGCCAGCAGTCAGCAGAAGTAACTTGCAGTACTGCATTCTAACCACTGTGCCACCACAGCTCTTATGTTAGCTTCTTCCTTGTATTTCTAGTTTTCCTATTTTTTTTCTAGCTACAAATCTATTGAGCAAATTTTTATGAAGATTATGAAGACTGAAAAAGCAGCAAGCCATCAGGATGCACGTCCCTCCCTTCAGATGAGATCTTTTCTTTAAGCTAGCAACTGAACAGTGCAGGCAGCAAAGAGTTGCATAGAATGTGCATGGTTATGCTCATAATAATTACTGCTGCATTATGGGAGATGATAAGCAGGGAAGTGTTGCAAAGAAATAAATGCTAAGATGGGAAGGTTGAATAAATCAAAATTCAAGAAATGATATCATGAGTTTCTCAATCAGTATAGAAAGAATACAGTAATTGGATTTAGACACTATACTCAGAAATAATGTTTAATTTTGACTGTGTGGACCCAACCACTGAGAATTGATAACACTAATTTGTGTCTTAGGATGTCATATGTATTTAGTTATTTGCAGTTTGCTTATCAAATCATGGTAAATCATTAAGGAAATCATGGCTTAATGTATCTTAACTCAGTGCATTTGTTTCCAATTAAAAATACCTGTGTAGCATAATTTAATTATAGTTTTGCAAGTGACACAAAAACAGTACAAAACAAAATAAATCTCATAATAGAGAACAGGGCTCATATCTATATCAAATTTAGACAAGTTGAAGAGTCTTGTAAGGTGTGAATCTTACTATGTCAGAATCATTTCAATTGCTGCTACGTACACATGAAGGTAGTTCAGGAATTTACCTGATGAAAATTTTGGCAGTAGTGACTGGGTTTCGAGTCACATGGGTTTTCTTCTTTAACAGTTTGTGCAATCTCAATACCATGTAGGATTATTGCAACCAGTCCAACTACACAAAATGTCACGTTGACATAGAAAGCAGAATGCACCTACATCAATATATTAGATAAAGGTTAGTTGTATAACTCTTAGAAGCATCTGTCTATATACTACTAAAACTCTTGTCATGATCTTTAACCAGGCAAAATGCATCATAGGGCAACCATTTTTGAACCAAGGTACCTCAAACGGACTAACTTACAGAATGAATCCAAAATACAGGACTCATGACTCCCGAATGAAATTTGAGAAAGTTGTGGCTGCTTCATGGTACTGGCTGCTGCTGTAATGATGGGCTGCTGCTCCGGTCACATGATCCTTATTTTCAACATTTTGTGACGGTTTCCCAGACAGATTCACAATCCTTTGCTCCCTCCCCCTCCCTTGGCAGCACCCATTTATCTGTCTGGTGAAATGGGAAAGGGGAAGGAAGGAAGGCAACGAGGAAGGGACGAAGGAGAAAAAATAAACCTCCACATATCTTCCCCAGCCCACCCACCTGTATTTCTCCAGAGCTGAGCTGCCTACTCAACACCTTCCATGACCCACACCATCCTTCTCCCTCCTCCACCTGGCATTCGGTTCCTTTTCTCCTGCATATTGCCTCTCCTTGCCTCTTACAAGCTAAAATAGTGAAATGATAGCATGTCAGTAATTCTGATTTCTACTAATAGGAAGAAATTATACCATCCGTAAACTCATTGGAGCAACCATAATTTAAAGGGAGAAAACAGTTTTGCTCCAGTTTCAACTAAAACAATGCAGAGCTAGGAAGACATTGACCTAGTTCCCCAAAACAGATCGGCATATGATCAAATGTCCAGAGCTGATTCTAAACTGGTGCAAACTCTTCATGCAGACATTCCTTTAGTTATCTTGATCAAATGTGAGTCTTTTCCCATTTGAGGCTAATTGCAGCACAAAGGCACCAGTGAATCCCCCCCCCCCAACTACCTCATGATATTGCTTTCAAATAACCTCCATCTCAGATGTGAGGCAGCCGTGAATTTTCTTTAACTATATTGGTGTTAAAGTAGTGTTCCTTCCCTTAATCCAGTGCTGGTTTTCCTGTAGATACAATCTAACATGTGTCACTAATCATTCTCTTGGTGGCATATTCAGATAATTCCTTGAATTTGCTTAGACACTTTATACTATCCTGTTTCCCTCAAAATAAGACATCCCCTGATAATAAGCCCAATTGGGCTTTTGTGTGCATGGCAATAAGGCCAAGTATTTATTTCGGGGTTAAAAAAAAAAAAGACAGGGTCTTATTTTCGGGGAAATACGGTAGTGTGGGCAAGCATCTTTCCCTCTGTTCTCAGGCACTGTCCTCCAAGATTATTTTGCTTTGGGCTGCAGGATGATTCAGTTCTTTCAAGGGGCCTTTCCTCTGTACTTACTAAATCTCTAAGTCAATCTCCATCCCAGAGACCTGAATCAGCCCAAACAGGAATTTTTTAGTGGGCTGCAAGGGTAGATGAGAGCAGTGAAGTAGTGAAGCCAGCTCTCTCTTTATTACTTCATGCTAAGGTGGCTTTACCTGAGGGAGAGAAAACAAAGCCAGACTGATATATCTGGCGACATACTCACTAGCAGATCAGACTGTCTTTTCTCAACTTCTAACAACAAGGACCCAGTGATCAAGAGCTACAAAAGCAAAGAAAAACAAACATAAGGATGAGCCTATTTTACATTGCAGAACCAGTGCTCCTAGAATCAGGCTGTTCCTACTAGACATTTATTAATTAACTCGATTTACATCCCTCTTCCTTACTCAAGCACTAAGTGCTGAAGGCAACTAAAAGATGAGAAAAAGCCTATTCCAGTTTCCCTTATAGGTAGGTCAAGGCATGCCAGTTGAATTTGTGTGAAATATGCTCAGAAACTTACACGTCCTCTATATCAAACTATGTATCCCTTAACCTGGTGTCTGGCTTGCATTGGATTTTAACTTCACTGCTTTCTAACCAGCACTGATATTATGGGAACTGAATTCTAAGATATCTGGAAAGCACCAAGTTGGAAAAAAACGTGTAAGGAAAAGTTTGTGCTGAACAAACATATTGTCTACTGGGGGGAGGGGGTTTTCTAGATCTCTCCCTGATTCTGAAACTATACAGAACCCTGCAGAAGCTTCTACAGACTGAAGATTGGTAAACCTTTGTGCTTCTCAAAAAGTTTGCTTACCAGGATCCCAATCCAGAAGTAAATGCCACTTTGCACAGTGATGGTGAAGCTTTCTTGAGCTGCTGTCAGGGCAATCCCAAAGCTCACCTGGGTAGCTCCAAAAACAATCTGTAAGATCTGAAGGAAAAAAAGAAAAGAGGGTGCGAGTAATATACACTGCTCAAAAAAATAAAGGGAACACAAGCAGAAGACATCCGAGATCTGAATGAATGAAATAGCCTTATTAAATACTTTGTTCGTTACATACAGTAGTTTTGTGTTCCCTTTAGTTGTTTGAGCAGTGTATAAACTACTGTATGTAAAGAACAAAGTATTTAATAAGGCTATTTCATTCATTCAGATCTCGGATGTCTTCTGCTTGTGTTCCCTTTATTTTTTTGAGCAGTATATTTAGATGTCTAAAGCATTAACATCACCATCTAACAAACCCAAGGAGTATTTTGTGCTATGCAATCCCAAATATGTCAAAAGTTTTAATGAGAAATTTCCTACAAAATCACGTTTTTCCTCTATTAGAAAGAGTATTTTGGATAAGAGAGCAATATTTAAAAAAAGGAGTTTGGTGGGAGATGAAAACCACACTCAGAATTATAAATAAAACCAGTACCCTCATCTCAACTAAATGGTTAATGATTAACTCCTTAAATATGTTCTTGGGATTTCAGCACAGATTATTTGCAAGGGCTGTAGCTGGAGACAGACCATCCAGTGCCCTCCTTGTGTTGCTGCCTCTCCTCCTCTGGCTTTCCTTTCCTTTTTTAAATACAATCCTCACTTTAAAAAAAAAAAGAAAGAAATGTAGAATGGACTTTGAGCATTGGTTAAGGAAAAACCAAGCCATTAAGAGGGGTCTAGCAATACTGACTCCTTTAGGGATGCCATGCTAAAAAGTAGAAGTTCGTCTCCAAGGCCCTCCAAAACCAAAAATCTTTCTAAGTTTGCAAGCAGTCCAAGGTTATTCTTATATATCTGATTACCAACAATCCCAATAGAAGTAGTACAATAGCAAAAAATATCTGCTAAAACCATATTAACACAAAAATAACTGTAATGTCTTTGAGGTATAAACTTCTTATTTAGGGATTATGCAAAAAATGTAGGTGTAGCAGTCCAGGTAGTTGGTTCTACTAGAATAGAACTCCGGAATATGGAGAGGAAGGATTAAACCATGTTATTTTATTATTATTATTATTATTATTATTATTATTATTCAAATTTCTATACCGCCCTTCTCCTTTCGGACTCAGGGTGGTGAACAGCCAAAATAAAACATTTATACATAAAGTACGATTAAAAATAGATTTAAAATAATTAAATTTGGCCCATAGTTTAAAATTTATCAATTTAAAATCCATATCAAAATTTAAAATCAACCATAAAATCATAAAATCAAGAGAGACCGGCTAACTGAAAGAGATGAGTTTTTATGAGTTTTATGTTCTCCCTCTACATAAGGAACTCCCAATAAAAATGTAGTGTACCTTTCGGTCGCTAGCATAATCACATAAAAATGAAAGTCTGTGATTCTACTTATAATTCAATTTGACAAGTCTTTCTTGAATGGTCTTGAGGACCTGAGTTGTTTCACACAGAGAAATGGAGAGGCCTTCACAGAATTTGGGCTTAATTGGACAAATCTAGAGGGCCTTACCCCAATTACATTGAGCAGAGTATTCTTGATCTTTTTGTTATGGGTTAGTAGGAACTGAGATGCTGCAGAAGCAGAGTCAACCACTCTGACTGTAGCTGTCGGTGTTGGCAGAGAACCTGTCTGTTGGACCGTTTGAGTGATGATCCTCACATTTCCATGCTCTGTCACAGTGCTGGCCATTTCTGAAGAAAACCAAATGCATAATTAGCAAAAGCCAACATGAATGTGTTCCAGTTTATAAGAATCCCGGTGAACTGATATTTAAAATAAATCTGACCAATTCAAAAAATAGTGGAATTGTTTTCCCATTATATTTGATACATTACACCGCTTTCTAGCCTAGTGCCTTAGCCATTAGACCAAACTGGCTCAGATTCCAATTAACTACCATTCCAATAAATGTTTCACAAAGCCCCCCATCCTATATCTGTTTGTTTGATTTCTATTTCTAAGAATTTTGTACTAGTTTTCATTACAGTAAACACAATTTTATTATTTTTAGCCCATTTATCTAACCTTACCTAGATGATTTTCAATTTTTTCGAGAGGGGGATATATAATTTTAGCATCATTTACAAATTTGATAAGCATTTCTGCTACTTGTTTACCAAAGTCATTGACAGAGTGGAAAGGATGGTAGGTCCAGAACTGAACTGATATCCAACTTAATAAGCCACTTCAGTTTTGCAACCAAGTGTCTACCTAAACAAGAAGCACCAGCTTCACTAAACCACAGTAGCAAGTTCCAAAGCTGATCACCAGTTGATTACTTTTAGGAGTGATTGGTGCTTCCAATCAAAAGGTTTTATTGTGCAATTTCTTATTGCATTCATAGGAATCCAGAGGGTTTCCATATTTCATTATTTTCCATGTGTAACTGATCCACCTCCTTCATCTAACAATGTGTATCACTTAATAACCATGGTATAAAAGATTGTAAAACAGGCTGTGACTCACTTCATGACATCATTTAGCAAAGACGGTCCTAATTGTGCTCGTAAGTCAAGAACTATCTGTATTGAATAAGGGGCAATTTCGTGGGTTCAGACAGCACCCTAAGCTCAAACTAAACATTTTGGCTTAATGAAATGTAGGATTCCAGCCTAGATTTATGGTGCTTCAATCAAAGATTTATTGTACAATTTCCTACTGCATTCGTAGGAATCCGGAAGGTTTCCATATTTCATTATTTTTCATGTGTAACTGACCCACATCCTTCATATCATATTCAGAAGCCTTCCATCTGAAAGCGTACGAGAATTACAGTGTGTTTCCTAGCCCTCTTATTAAAGATAAAGCAAAACAAGTTTTTAGAAAGAACATTTTCTATTTCTTCCTCTTTAGGAATTGATTTCACCATCTCCACAGACATTTCATGTTTTGTTTTTGGGCATTGGCCCCAGTCAACCTGTTGATCGTGTATGTGAATTGCTTGATTCATTCTTGATTGTACAACTGAAAGGAAATGAAAATAGCAGCATATGACTGGAAATTTGGCAGAACTTTAGGGTCGACCTGGAAGAGATGCCATTAAGACAAAGAGCAACTGCATTAATGGACTTTCCAAAGCAAATAGCAAGACTCAATCCAGATGGACCGCCTGGGTGGGGAATAGAGGATCCCACCAGTGCTCCAAAGTGGAGCTAGGACCTTACATCTGAGGATGGGATCTCATCTACCTTGGCCCTCCAAAAGCACAGGCCAGATTTTTAAAATGATCAACCTACCAACGACTTTGCTGCAAAAGTCCACCCTCGAGGACAAATTGCCAAAATTGAAATTCTAGCCTGGATACCTGTGTGCAGAACGCGGAACCCTTTCCCTGCTCAACTCTGATGCCAATACTACCGGGGCCTCTGCGCTTGCTGCTTCCTCCTAAGAAAACAACTGAAATCCGTATTCCTTCTCCACTACACTCTTGCTAATAAAGAAGATCACAACTGATTGTTTAGGTGTGTGCTCTGATTCGGCTTTGCCTCCGACCCTCCCGCGTAGTTTCTTGTTTTCCCCACGCCCGCTCCTTCCTCCCACTGAAAAACACAGCGCCGATCTATCAGGAGCCGGAGAGACACTCACCCGCGAGAGAGCCGCTTCTTGCCTTCTCTAAGCTAGCAAGCCTTGGCCGGCACTTGCCACAGACCCCAAACTCTTTCGTTCCCCGCGTCGGTTTCCCGATCCCGAGACCAGGCAGCTGCGGTCGGTACCCCTTGCTGACAGTTTCGCTCGCATCACTTTTCCGGGAAAGAAAACGGAACGGAGGTCAGCAGGGGCGGCGAAACACCGAATCTCGCGTCTGCGCGCGCGCAAAGAGGTTGCTGTTGCTTTCCCAGCTCCGGAGTTCATCAGCAGCGGCTAATTTGGGGATATTTCTCAGAAATGACTTTATTCCTAATAAAAGTGCATGTGCTATTTTAGGGAAATGTTGCTTTATAAGATTTATTTGTTTTGTCTGTCTGTCTGTCTGTCTGTCTGTCTGTCTGTCTGTCCATCTCTACTACCTACCTACCTACCTACCTACCTACCTACCTACCTACCTACCTACCTACCTACCATCCATCCATCCATCCATCCATCCATCCATCCATCCATCCATCCATCCATCCATCCATCTATCTATCTATCTATCTATCTATCTATCTATCTATCTATCTATC